AGGAGGTGAAAATGCAGATGAAAACGAAGGTAGGCCAAGGATGAAGATGATGAGGGCACTGAGGAGGAGCAGGAAGATGAGAAGGAGGAGGGTCTGTCTTTTGAAAGTCATGTGACCTGGGGGAGCAGCCCCACAGAGGGGGTTAAACACCCTCAGGTCCAGCTGTCTCTCGTTTGTTTTAGCTTCAGGGCGTCATCTGTGGGGGTTAAGCTTCCACATCTGTGTCTCTTTATGGATTGCCCTCCACGAGCTCTCATAGCCTCCTGTGAGCCCTCCGGGCCGCGCTCAGCAGGCTGTTGACTCGGAGGTTTGCGTGGCATTTCTACGCTTCTCTGTGCTGAGTTTTCCCGCCTCCTCTCCCCTGATATTCGTTTAAAATTTAATCTCCAATAACTTTGGCGGGGTCTTATCCTTGCGAATGAAACTCCGCGGGAGCGAGTGGGTGAGTGAGCTCTCCGTAGCTCTGGAAGCTGCTTGCAGACAGCTCTCTCCAGGGGGCTCTCACTGACGGACATGGCGCAGGGCCGGCCACCCACGCCCGCGGCCTGCGCCAGCCTGCCCGTTCGGTCACTAACCCTTATGAGGACTCAGGCAGGCCCGTCCTTCACACACTGCGACGGCTGCCCCGCCTCCTCTGGCAACAAGAGAATCGAGTAGTTGCAACAGAGACATCACGGCCCACAAAGCCAAATACACTTAGCATCTGGGCCTTCACAGATAAGGTTTACCCGCCCCCATCCGAGCTCTAGGGAATATGTGCTTTTAATTCGGCATGTAATGCAGAAAGGGCATTTTTTTGGGGGGAATAAGAAGTTCTTTCCTCAACCTCCCCAGTTTTCAAGTGAGGCGGTAGAGTCATTGCCGGTTTCCCTCCAGGTTAGAATGCTGAAAGGATAAGCGTGCTCAGGACAGGGCCTGGTGGGAAGGTTCATGCTGGCGCTTTTCTCAGGAGCTTGTGTGGTGCCCAGCTCTCACCAAGCCGTTCGGGTGAGTTTACAAGAGCTCCTTGGAGGATCATGTCACTGGCAGCCATGCCAGCTGTCCCTGGAGCCAACAGATGCAGGGAGTGCAAGCGACAGAGTAGAAGGACGCCAGACACAGGTGTGACCACGCGATGTAGCCAGGGAGGGAGATGAGTGAGGCCCTACACCAGTGACGGCGAACCTTCTGAGCTCGGCGTGTCAGCATTTTGAAAAACCCTAACTTAACTCTGGTGCCGTGTCACATATAGACATTTTTTGATCTTTGCAACCATAGTAAAACAAAGACTTATATTTTTGATATTTATTTTATATATTTAAATGCCATTTAACAAAGAAAAATCAACCAAAAAAATGAGTTCGCGTGCCACCTCAGACAGCGTGTCATAGGTTCGCCATCACTGCCCTACACAGAGGGCGGAAGGGAATAAAGGTTCAGAAGAGGACACATTTAAACGCAGAGAGACCTGTTGGGACACGGTTTCTCAAACTGTTTCCTAAAGTGGTTTCCTGGGGCCCCGGGGGCCCTATAAAACATTAGGGGCGAAGGAGGGTGGGGAATGAGGTGCGGATGGGCTCAGCGGGGCGGGGTCCCATGAGCAAGGAGCCGTGTGCTTGGCTGGAGGAGAAGGGGACGGAGGTCTTGGTGGAAGGCGAGCCCAGCGCCGGATCCAGTCCTCTTTGTCCTGAGAAACGTTGGGGACAGAATAGTGGCCGCCGGAGCCAGCAGCCCTGCCCTGCCCTGCCCTGCCTGGGGCACCAGGCCGAGGCCGGTGCTGTGCGGGCGGCAGAGGCTGGTCAGCCGGGGCGGGCGGGGCTGTGCGAGGAATGGGTGTGAGCCGGCTCTGTGGGCGGGAGAGCAGATGACAGGGCCGGAGATGAGGCTGTGCGGCCAGAGGAACCGGGGCTCCTCGGAGGGACTGGAGCTGCAGGGAGGAGGGGGCAGTAGCTACGGTGACCTGGTACCCGAGGGAGAGGGGGAGGGCGGCGGGAAGGCCGCACGCGGGTGAAGGGACTAAAGCTGAGGTCCCCCGTCACTGTCTCTGAACAGGACGGACGGTCTCCCCGAGGCTCAGCTTTCTTCGCCTCACCAGGGATCAGGTGGGATGGACCAGAGCCGTGATGGGACCTGGTGATTAGAGCTCTGAAGGTGCGATTCCCCTTCATATTGGTCAGCCTCTCTCTTTCTCTCTCTCTCTCTCTCTCTCTCTCTCTCTCTCTCTCTCTCCTGTATCTATCTATCTATCTATCTATCTATCTATCTATCTATCTATCTATCTATCATCTATCTATTTATCACCTATTTATCATCTATCTATCTATCTATCTATCTATCTATCATCATCATCATCATCTATCTATTATCTATCTCTCTATGTGTATGTATGTATGCATGTATGTATCCCCCCTTTCTCATCTATCTATCCTCTATCTGCCTTGAAAAATACCGGCATTGTATGCTCTGCCTTAATAGGAATAAAATGCAGTTTTCCTGCAATTTGAAAACGCCTGTTGCTCTAAAGGTTTGAATGAGTCCATGCAGAGCTTGGTGGTTGGTAAAATTCTGATTGTGTGAGTTCTGTTTTTTGCTTCATTGTGGAGAGTGAATACAATACGTAGGAAAAAACACATTTTATCGAGGCACAGATGAAAACCAATAAATCCTTGGGCATATTAAAAAAGCATTTCCCCGGGGAGTCACAGGCCTGGGTGTTTTGTTAAGCTGACTGTCGTGATTCTTTTTCGTGCCTTTGGACTTGTTCTTTAACTGAGGGAAGCTTGGTGACAGGGAGCCTTCTTCACACCGGGCCAGCCTGTAAGAGGCTAGAGAATGAGTAACACTCTAAAAATAACGCCGTTTAAGAGTCTGAAAACAACACACTCTGGGGAAGAAAGATGTATCTGAACAGCGAGGCCTCCCCCCGGGTCAGATCCGTGCCCCCGCTCACAGGGTCCCGGCAGAGCGGTCTGCTTCCCCGCACCCCGCAGGGGCGAGGACGCTCCCTGTCAGTGGCTACCCTGAGTCAGTTCCCCTCAGGGAAGGTCACCCTCATCACCAGGACCCACCTCATCGGGAGCCTCCCTCCCCTTGTGCTGAAGCAGCGATTGTCCAGCAGCCCTCGCAGGACGCCCTGTGCTCTGCGCCACCCGAGGCGGTCAGCCACCCCGCTTCTGTGTTTATTAAACGCGAATATTGGTCTCGTTTAGCAATTCCACCACCGGAGATGGAGACGAAGGCAGGGGAGTGTTTGAACTTGCTAAGCCCTTCTAGACCCTGAGTAAGGGCTGCTGCGGGGAGCGTGCTGCTTTCCAGCCTCACTTGGCCTCACTGACGAGCAGTCAGTGTGCACAGTCCGTGCGGCCCCTGAGTCTGTTTCCCTGCTCTCAGAGCCGCTCGGAGAAGCAGAGCCCAGAAGTAAAGACCTCTCCCCTCCTCCCCCCTCCCTCCCCCTCTGTCTCTCTCCCTCTCCTGGGGGATTATGCAAGGGCCCCTGGGCTGGGGTAATAACAGCTGCAAGTAAGCCAATGCCACTCGGGCGGCCTCAGACCCCTGGGCCCTGGCGGGCAGCGGGCAGCTGGCTGGGCCCTGGGCTTCAGCAGCAACAGGCTGCCCGGCTCTGGCAAATCCTGGGCAGACGGGACAAATGCTTCAGGAAACAACTGGTTTGAAAGAATAGACTGTTTGCTACTCCCCACTGGGCGTGGGGCTCAGACACAGCTGTGCCGGGGCTTAGCTTTCAGCCCAGGCCAGGGTTCGGGTCACCTGGGGCTTGTTGGATGCAGCTGTCGCCGTCCGTGGGTCTGATTTCAGACACCCGCCAGAGGTCTCCTGTCATTCAGGCGTCCTGGCTAGAAGCACGGGGTGTCCAGTGACCCCTCGTCCGCCTGAGGTGCCAGGGCACAGGGTCCATTCCCACCGGGGGACATGCCCAGGGCGCCTGCGCATCCTAGTGTCCCAGAGGCGCCAGCAGTGGCTTGTTCAACAGGAGACGCATTCCCTTAGTTATGTGACCGCGATTTCCACGGCACAGGAGGGTGGAGAGGGGACTCCTTATATCAGATAACGGGGCGAAGACCTTGCCTCCTCTCCTGGAAGAAAGCTCGGAAAAGCAATGAGGAGAACAAGGAACATGCATGCACACATGCACGCACACACTCACACTCACAGTCACTCACACACTCACACACACTCACACATACAAACACACACACACATAGTCACTCACACACACACACATTGACACTCATACACACATACTCACAAACACACACACTCACACACACACACTCACATACACTCGCATACACATGCTCACACACACTCACACACACTCTCTCACACACACACACACACACACACTCACATACACTCGCATACACATGCTCACACACACTCACACACACTCACACACACTCACCCACACTCTCTCACACACACACACACACACACACACATGCATGCGCATACACACACCCCCCCCCTTGGGTGGGACTGTGGGATGTGAGCCACCTGAGCCGGGATACCGACAGGAGTGCAGGGGTGAGATGGATTGGGGCCAGTGGAGCCAGGGCCCCGTGTGTGCAACTCACTGGCCCCGTGGGCTCTCTGGGCACCAGGCCGGGCAGCATCCTTCCCGGGGGACGAGGAGCTTCCCCGACCTACGTGCATAACGAAAATCAGGGAAGATGAGAGGGAAGAGAAATCACAGGACTGGTCACGTTTTCAGGAAATGACTGTGGCAGATCTCAGTGGTGTGGGGAGAACCAAAAGCTAACGAGCCTTCGCCGGTTTGGCTCAGTGGATAGAGTGTCGACCCATGAACTGAAGGGCCCCCGGTTCAGTTCTGGTCAAGGGCACGTACCTCAGTTGCAGGCTCCATCCCCTGCCCTGGTTGTGGTGGGTGTGGGAAGCAGTCAATCGATGTGTCTCTCTCACATCAATGTTTCTCTCTCTCTCTGTCTCTCCCTCCCGTTCTCTAAAAATCAATGGAAAAAATATCCTCAGATGAGAATTTACAAAACAACAACAACAAAAAAGCTAAAAAGGCCTGGCATGTCCTAAAGAAGATTCCAGCTGAGCTGCCAGCGTGCTCGCCCCATGAGCCTCCGTGGTGACTGGCTTGCGGGTGGGAAGTCAATGACTTAAACACAGCATCTCCCTGTGCAAAGAAGTTATCAGGAAAGAGAATAAGGTAAATAAAGGGGGAAATGGCAGATAAAAGACAAAATGTTTTCATAAAGTGGGGTAAAGTTATGACCAAAAATACCCATGGGTTTAAAATAAAAGCAGAAGCAAGAATTAAATAACATAATAATCTCCAGCAAACTAGAGTAGAAGGTGGAGATGTGAGGACTGAGGGAAGAAACGGGTTGTGAAAGAGAGAGGAACCGGGAGAGCTTTGGAAAAACAAAACAAAAAGAAAAAGAAAATGTGTCCTTTCTGACGGGTGTTTCTGATTTCTTGAGATATATTCCTAGAAGTGGTGTCCCTTGACCTGGCCTGCAGGGATTGGGCCAAAACTGGCTCTCCGACATCCCCCGAAGGGTCCCAGATTGCGAGAGGGCGGTTCTCGGGTGACACACCCCGGAATTGGGTCCCCCTCCTCTCTGGTTCCGGGTGCATCACCCGAGAACCGCAGCTGCCAAGTCACCTCAGTTCAGCAGCTCCTGCGTTGAGCATCTCCCCCCGGTGGTCAGTGCGCGTCATGGCTGCTGGCTGAACGGTCAGCAGGTCACTTAGGGTTTTCTATGGAGAGCTCACACTCTCTGCTACCTTCGCTCTAACCTTGCAGGCCTATTGCCTCATTCACTGAAAATAATTCTGGTGTGAATACTGCAGTTTGAAATAATAAGATTTCTTCAATAAGGATCTTTTTTCTACAAACAGCCCTAACCTTTGCTTCATCATTTGGTTTACAAATCTCATTAAAGCTTTGCTGCTTGGTCAATGCTCCAGACATTTTTAAGGTATAAATCTTCAACCATACTTTTCCTTTTAAGACAGAAACTGCTCCAGGGCCCACGTGATCACCTGCAAACCAGCCGGTTCCGTTCCAACGGGAAGGGCCTTGGCACTGCCCTCGTCTCCGATGAAAAATGAGCCCCATTCGATGACTGACCTTCTCACCAAGCGCGGCTTCCACGGAAACACACAGGCTGTCTCGGCCACGGCTGTCACCTCCTCAGTCGCTAGCCGTGGCTGGGGGGGCCTGGCCGCGGGCAGGGAGGGGGCGGACACTGAACAGCGCGGCTCCGTGCAGTGGGCGCCGCCGCCTGAGGGAGGCTTGGCCAGAGGCAGAGGCGAGTGTTGCTGTGACTGGCGACGGTCGTGTCGCTTTTGAGAGAATCGACTGAGAACGCCCTCACTTGCTTGGGAGACTAAAGGGGGTGCCTCTCCCAGCCCTTCCTCAGGGTGGATCGGGGTGGCCAGTCCACAGACCCTGGGGTCTCTGAGCAGAAGCGCAGCTGCGAGTCAGGCCGTGTGCAGAGTGGCCAGCGTCTGTCTGTCTGTCCAGGTCTCCGGGCCGGGCTCCGGGACGGTACCCCGCCTGCTCTATCCCCTGCACAGCACTAGGCTGACTCCGGAGGGAAGACAAGCTGTGAAGGAATTCTGGCAAAGTTACTTGCAAAGACAGAGACCCATGGACACACCTGTTCCCGCAGATTTGCTCGCTAACCAAGGCCCAAGGAGCCTCAGGAACTTAAATCACTGCGCGCAATGGATGAGCAGAAACTCCACATTCGTGTTCATTCGTTTTAATGAACAATTCCCCTCTGCTTATCTACACGGGCTTCCTGTCAGGGTCCCGACCACCTCATCTTTGACTTCCCTATACCATCTGCTTTATTTTTGCAGCCGAACAATACAACCCATCCCCAAACCCACCCGAGGGGCCCTTTAGGGAAAGGGAGGAAGCTGGGGTGACGTGGGAAGAAGAGGCCCTGTTAGCCACGGAGACTTGCCCACGAGGCAGGAGGGTCCTTTCGGATGATCAAAGCGTTCGTCATATTTTTCACCCCAGCACAGCACCGCGCATTTGCCCAGCTTCCCAAGGTGACGCTATCGCGGGGTTGGGGCGTCCGGAATCAAGACATTGGAGGGTCGGGAGTGAAACTGCCTCCACCATCGATGACCCCTGCGGTGCCGCCTTACAGGACGAGGAAGAGGCGCGTCTCTGGCGTCTGGGGTGCGGAGAGCTGCTGGCTACGGTTCTTGGAGATGGTTTGCTCCCCAGCCCATCGAAGACTGAGCAGTGGCACTGGAGTTGCTCGGCCTCTGAGGGTCCCACTTGGTCTACGCAACAAGGACAGCAGGTCAACCCCAGTGGAGGCCCCCGCGGCTCTGTCCTCAGGGCGAATCTGTCCTTCTCCAGCTCGTCACAGGGGAAGCGCACCCTAGTGTGGAAGTCCTGGGTTCCATCAGCAAGAAAATGTTCACTTATTTTTAAAATAAATTCACTCCCGCAACTCATCCATGTTCTAGTTATAGATCCTAGTGATTGCTTAAGAACTTAATTTTCTCATATATTATGAATTGTATTCTATCACGTATTTGCCCATAAGAAGACCATATAATACAAATTAAATATCTTCCTTTCATTTTATCTACTATATCATTTTTTTTTCTTGATGGACATGAGTATCCCGCTACCTTTTCCAGTAGAAAATCAGGCAACATAGAAGTGCTAAAGGAAGCCTCCAGAGACCCGTTTACGTGGCATCACGATTGCTTGGTCCTCAGCAAAGGCGGGAGAAAATGCACCGTCACGTGGAAGGACGTGCCAGTGGGTGGAGGGACTGCAGGCGGCTGCATCTGTAACACTTTCAATGCATTGATGACTATTAGCATGCAGTGTATTTACAAGCAGAAGGACATATTCATCAAAACAACTTGGAAAGAAAAGAGTACAAATTACATTGAGAACAGTCACTGTCTCCGGAATAGGTCTTTCATAACTTCCTGTGACGGAGATGTGGACAGTTGGCTGAGCTTGACTTACTGTCCTGCTCTATGGGGATGAGGTGAACAGCTGTTGCTAACCCTCTCGTGACAGGTGAAGAGGTATCCATCTCTGGGATGACAACACTCCACACCTCGCGGGCTGATTTCACCTTTCATACTTTTTTTTTTAACCTTTCATACTTCTTGGTAAGCCTTTGCACCCCTCCTTGGAGCACATGCAAAATTGCCCCCCCCCCCGTCCCCCTCAATCTGGGCAGGTGGAGTAGTGTGGAGCCTCCAAGCCCAGCAGCCCCACTAGCTGCTCCCTGGTCACGGGTGAGAGGGATTGAGACTCCGAGTTCCGGTCCTACGGTCTCAGCTAACACATCTGCCCAATCCTTCCTGTTGGAATCTGTCACTGCCCACGTATGGACTCTTCCATTTAAGAATTCATCACACTCTGACGTAGTAACATGAACTTGGCAATGCCACGCTTCCTTAGTGCACTGTGGACGCTGTGCAGGCCGGGGCCACGCTGACTCCTTCCTGTGTCCTCTGGAATGGCCGGCACAGTGGTACATGTCGAGTTGCACGAGTTTCTATGACGCCATTCTGTATAACAGGGTGACTGGGCCGAGGCCTCGCCAGCACCATGACTGGACTCTTAGGCTCAGGGTCTCTGCTCGCCGGTCTCTGTGGGGTTGACGCTATGAGCCCGGCAGGCATGCTGTCCACGGACCAGGCTTTGCCCAGCCCCCCAGGCCCGGGGGCGGAGATGAAGTCAGCATTCTAGCCTGAACCATGCAGCCTCATCATTTCTAAATTCAATCGAGAAGAGTGGTCAATTTAGAGATTAAAATGGATCCCAGCCATCAGGGGCCAGTTCAGTCTTTTAAATAAATTAGCCACGAGATCCAGGCCAATAAGAGGAAAAGCAGGCTGAGCTCTTTAAAACAACCCAGGGACATTAGCAGTGAAGTTCCCTCTGTCTGACACGCAGTGAATCTATCAGGCTCTGCTTCTCCTTCACTGACAAGACTGTGCTTGGCGAGACCCACGCTCAGCTCAAGGTCAAGGAAGGACAGGGACTAATAAAAACATTCATGCTTCCCGTCAGCACTGACAGAGCACACTGATGGGACAGTCAAGGGTCCTCTGCTCACCCATCAACCCTTTCTTGAGATACTTTAGCTTCCAGCTCTGTATCTCCCACTCCCCACCCCCAGCACCCATTTTTCTCAAATTCACATCTAGTTAGGAGTCACTGGGTTTCCTTAGATTTTTGTTAAGATTTTCCAATTTCTCAGAAATGATTGCTGGGCAGCAAAGCTCTGCAGAGAGTGTGAGAATCAGAGTCCGTGCAGCAAATCCATCTGCGGTAACAGTGATGCTGCGTGCCCAGTTGAGGCACGTGGTGTGGGGCCTCCTCCTTGTGCGGGAGGCTGGCTTTGAAAGACGGCAGATCCCTCGTGAAGATACAGGATGAGGAGGAGGGAACGCTGCCGTCCCTGACAATTAGAAACATGGTACTGAAAACTAGAGCTGATTTTTGTAAAAGACCGATTCAGGTCTGTGGGTGGCGAGAAGAAAGAACCCTTCAAGTGCTCAGGCCCGCCTGCTGTGCCGTGCTTTCTCAGGGGAGTGGGCGGCAAAATGTGCATTCAGGTGGCAAGAAAGGACAGTGACTTGGAATTCTCGTCGCTGTCCGGATTTAAGGGGGCACAGGAGCGGGTCTGGTGCGGGAGTCTGACATTGGAGCAGGGCGGGAAATGTTCCCTAACAGGGACTGTGCGGAAATTCACTTCTCATACAGCTCTTCTCTCCTTCCTCCGCGCAGGGTATCAACAGAACCCTGCCTGCCCAGGAGCGCACTCCCCAGGCCGGGCTGCCTGGACCACGTGTCCTTTCCTTCACTCTCCAAAGGGCACAGATGCCAGGAAACCCCAGAAATGCAGCACAAAACGTAAGCTCACCCCCCAGACTCTGCGGGAGGCCTGCAGGCACTTCCCTTCTGAACAGGGACCAGCGCCCAAGGCTGACTTTGGGGCTGTTGGCAGTGAAGACTGGAATTCTCTCCTTTATTCTGGGGAGGGAGCATCATGGCTACAAAGGCTCTAAGATGCAGGCGTCATGAGACCTACGAACATTTTTTGGGCAACATAGATCACACCAACGGTTAACGACGACATAGCTTTGGATTTGTTCATCAGATAATGTCCTTTTGAGCCTTAAGTGCATATAGAAAAGCAGCAAACAGAACCCATGGTGTATGGAGATTGAATCGTTAGGGACCTGGGCAAATGCACCGTGCAGCCCTTGATATTGGATGCAGAGGACATATGGCTCCAGTTAGATGGCAACTGGCACCCAGTGTCTGTGTATTAGAGTGTTGGGGGTGGAGGGTGTTTAGGAGGCTTTGGAACCAAGCCACCAGCTGGTCTTAGGCTTTAAAGCTAGTGGAGTTCATGTGATGGTTGTGTGTATATGCATGTGTGTGTCTGTGTGTGCGTAACTCACACACACAGACACGTACACAGGGAAACAGTGCGTTGTCGGGTGGCTTGTGGTGATGCTGACTCCACCCTCCGCGGTGTGGCCCCGCCCAAGTTGAAGGCCTGGCACAGTGGCCTCAGGGGCGGGTGGAGAGGGACGGGAGGGGAGCACGGAGCTTGTTGTGATGGCTCTTTCGCCCCACCCCGCCCCACCCTGAGGCACATCGCGAGGGCTGAGTGGATGCCGGAGAGAGAATTGAATGGTTGTCCTTCATCAGCCCTAAAGAAAGGCTTTTCAGTGAATAAGGTAAGAGCTTTGACACCAGCTAAGAAAACGGGGATGCTGGCCTTTTGGTTTTTACCATAAATTTAACTTTCTCATTTACTGCGCGGGGGACGTGGAGGTTGCCACGGTCGGGGTAATAGGGACAATAATGTGTGCACATCCCACCACTGTGTAAACCCAGGCCGTGGCGCCTGTGGTCTGCATCGCCTCCTGCTGTTCTCTGTGTTCCCATGGTAAGCTGAGAGCTGCCCTTGGCTTTGACATTTAATGTCAGGTGGGTCTTCGGAGGCCATCTTCTTCCTTCCTGTCTACACCCACACACATGTGCAGCCACACACAGACACGGGTGCACACGGCACACATGTCACATTATCCTGCAGTTCCTCACGGTCCCAGTCAAAGGTCTAGAATGGAGTCCCAGGTGTCCACGTGTCCACGCCCTGCCTCAAGCACCTGGCCAGCTGCACAGTAAAGAGGCAACGGCCCGGCCGGCAGGGCTCAGTGGTTCAGCGTTGACCTATGACCCAGGAGGTCACGGTTCGATCCCTGGTCAGGGCACAGGCCCGGGTTGCAGGCTGGATCCCCAGTGTGGGGAGTGCAGGGGGCAGCCGATCCATGATTCTCTCTCATCACTGATGTTTCTATTTCTCTCTTCCTTCCTCTCTGAAATAAATTGGAAAAAAAAAATATTAGAAAAAAAAGAGGGCCACAAGCCCTGCAGGTCTCAGGGACTGAAGTCTCTCTCATGGCCGGGGCTGCCTCGAAGCAGTTAGACAGGAAAGTTTTCCTGCTGCTGGAGAAATCACCGTTGCCTTTGCTGCAGCTGTACATGACTGGGGTCTTTACAGAAAAGTGGTTAAGTGAACCTCATTATAGGGGTGGGGTTCTCCCGCCATCCAGCCCGACTGCACACGAGCGCAATGGGCCGCCGACGCCACGTGGGCCCGGTGGCCGTGGCCCAGCCTCACTCCGCAACCTTCGCCAAGCGCACTCCTGCCGCCTCCCGCCGCTCACCCGAGTCAGACTGCACTGCGCGCCTGCTGGCTTGTCCTTTTACTGTCTGTCTTGAGTTTTTAGTGCTCTGCTAGTTTCTCTCTAATATTTGCTGAGTTCAGGGCTGGGCCCAAGAAGGCATTCAATGAATATCTGTGGAATGACTTAATGAATATACATCAGTGTTTCACAACTGTTGTTAGTAAACGTTATGAAGAAATAGGTTCCATGGTCAAATTTAAAATAGATGCGGAAGTTGGATAGGTTCCCTTGCTATGGGACGGAGTGTAAAATGTCACCGTACCTTGTGTGTGGGTAAGAGGGACATGGCGTCTGCGAGGTTCCGAATATATTGGTTCTTAGGACAGTGCTTGGTCTGAAGTAACGTGTGTGTGTGTGTGTGTGTACATGTGAGTTGTTGTTATTATGATTATTATCATCCATTGGTCTTAGGAGCCATTTTCTTAGAATTTCTTAGGACTAGAGGCCCAAGAGAACATCCTTTTGGGAAAAGGTGACCCACCCCCGCTTTGTCTTAAGGGACCTTTGATCCATGTTGCATTAATTAGGAATTTGAAACCATTCACTGGGGCTGGGTTGGCCTTTACCTTTGTACTGCCTGTAGCCATATAGTTTGTTAGGCAATCAATATGGTGAAGCAAATCCCGTGAGGAACATTTAATTTTAAGCCAACCAGGTCTTCGGAACGCCCATAGGTGCCTCGTGAGCACCATTTGTTTCTGTAGAAGGTCTGCTGG